GACACTGCCGTTTCAGGGCGGGGTCATTTTCAGGACTTTCGTCCCGGATTCAGGTTTTGGCACCTATGCCATGTTGACCGCCATGGTCATTTTACCCTGAAACAGTTGAGATTACCTGTGCAAAATGAAACGCATACAAACTCATATACAAGTCCTAGACTAATATAATAAACAGAAAAATACATGGGTGCTTGGAAATACCAGATTTAAATCTGGTCGAAAATAAATCTGGTATTTCCGCGCACCATGTATTATTCTCTATGTGAACGGCTACTTGGAAATCAATAAGGGGCGGACCATTAGAAATCCCGGGAGAGGGGGGGGGGTGAAAATTCCCCCCAAAAAATTCGTGCAATGAAAAATGCCTGGAAAAAATTCGTGCAGCCATTACGTCAGAGAAAAAAATTCGTGCAGGCCAACAGCAAAGTACAAATAGTCTTGAAAAAAAATTCGTGCAGAGGTTAAATGAATTAAAAAAAATTCCTGCAGAGACCTGAGACTGAAAAAAAAATTCGTGCCGCAAAAATTTTATACCGCCCCTCCCGGGATTTCTAGTCCGCTCCTAACCTAGACGTGTTAAAGGATATACCGTTGTAAAATAAGATTTTTAATAATTAATAATAATAAATTATTCTGTTTAATATTCTGCTTTGTCTAATGTCAGATGATTATTTTGCATCAACATTCTTTGTGACATGAATCATAACGAGTAAGGTTAATATAAACAACTACAAATGTAGTTTTTTCATAGCAACAATGCGAATTACTTTGAGCAGTTCAATGCTTTGCATAGACACAAGTACGCATAGCGTGCTTATTTTTTACAATGTGTCTAAAAACAAACAAAATTAAAATTTTGCGTACATATAAATGAAAACGTTCTTTTAGCTTAATATATTCTACGTGTCATTGCCTGACCAAACTCCATACATGCAGATGAAGCAAGGCAGCCTAGCCTTCAACCTAGCGCGAATGGACGTCTCGTTCCACGAATTCCCGCGCAGGAAAACATGCAATTAGTTTAACATATGTATATTAATGATATACATGAAAAAAACTCAATCAGGAAAAATATTTTATATTAATCAAATTATTACTGTGGTAAATATGAAAGATCTCTTTCCTTTTAAAAATTATCCGCAAATGTGAGAAGATATTTGGCGAATTCATTTTTGGAAGAGACCAAGCATCTGAAACATTTATTTGGCTGCAATAAAATTATCTTCCCCTCAGGGCCTGTTCATATGGGGGAAAAGTTATCCGGTTAACGAGAAAACGTTTCGACTAGCCAAATACTTTTGTTCTGTTCATATAGAGAAACGTCAGACCGCTTACCGGGTAAAGTTTCCGGCTGTGACATAGCACTGAACATCAACTGAATTGAAAAATTGCTGACACGACAGAAAGTTATCGATCCCGCTAAGGGGGAAAATTGTGTTCATATGGGAAAAACATTATCCTGGTCACCGAGATCTTGCCTGTCAACAAGCGAGATCTCGGTACACTGGGCAACTTTTCGTCTCATATGAACGCAGTGTAACTTTTCATATTATTTTCATACCAAGACGAGATCTCGCTTGTAAACTTGTCGAAACGTTTTCTCGCTAACCGGGATAACTTTTGCACATATAAACAGGCCCTAAAATGACTTAAAACTGGAAAACTTTTTATGTTTCATGCATATCATTAAACATCACTGTTAAAGCAAATTTGTTATATAAAACAACCAACAAATTGGTTGTTTGAGCTAACGAATTTGTTGCTTTTTTATTACAGTGTTGTTACAAGTCGACTACCATCGTAAAGCATTGTAATTTGTCCCACATCAGTTGTAAGGAGTGAAACAAGTGAAAACGAGTAAGCGAATAAACGAATGGTCGAGCTTGAGCGCTCAAACCCAACAAGGGAGCAAGCGCTAAAATCCGCATTTTAAGAGATTCTAGCACAACCTTGCAGCTGTATAATACGAGTCGACTTGTAGCATGTCTAGTATATCATTACCGTGCTTCACGACATGCAGAAACATACAGTCCATACATAATTTCATTTTATTTTGTCCTTTCCAATGTACATGCAATGAACGTCTTGTTTTCCTCGGGTGAAGCTGTTAACTCAATTATGCTATACGCATACATACTTGCAGTACTGCACAGATATTCCCTCATCATAGTTTAAACTAAGTATGTCAATTTTCCATAACCATTCGTACGTCCGTGGGTTGATTTTAGTTATGTTGCAGCACAAAATCGCATGTGTTCTCTGAATTCGCCGTAAGCGAGATTAATGTCGTTCGGAGTTCATTCGGGTGTATGTTCACTGTACACGTTTTAGTTGTTTAAATAGTCCACACGTACACATCACTGTTTGACAGCTCCATGGAAACTTTTCTATTTCTGCAGCAGGCAAATGGAGTTGCCATATGCAACAGAATCCATGTCATACAGTTTTAATAGCACAATGTTAATAAGTTAAAACTTTTTTCTTTAGTAAAACTTACTACGATTGTTCAGGTTACATAGTGCCATCTTTATCAGTCTATATATATACGCAAACTTTAGCACAATTTAGCAGCTGATCAAGCAATTTCGGTTTCTAGTGAAAGTTGAAGATGGTCAGTGATGAAACAAAAACTGATAGCACTGGTTTTGGAATGGGAATGTCTTTTAATAGGGCAAGCCACAAACAAAGTTCTTCCAAAATGGTAATTTTGTGCCGGTACCGTGGTATCTACTGGAATATACATTTTGATGTTAAACTCACGCGACACTGCAGAAAGTCTCTGTAGCCTTTGGCTGAACTGAATCACTAAGCCTTTTACTCCATCGCTCTGACAGAATATGTTGGTGAAACAGCAATACACGGCTGGTAAATTTTATCCACGTTTCATTTTCTTGGTCGATCGAGCTGCACGTCTAACATTTCACGAAGGTATAGCGACATCTTCATTCGATCTTTTTCATTTAGTCGATTGTCTAATGTACAGTGCTGCATAGCATGTTCTAGCTTTGTCGTAACTGCTTCTAATTTCACTTTCCCCATTAGCAATAACATCGCTTCGGTTCTTACAATCCAATTTAAATTTTAAGTCTTGTAGCAAGTCTTTTATAATTTATTTCAATAGTGCGGCTGTTAAGTAAACCAATTTTTTGCTTTTGTGATGACAAGCACGTTATTTGCAGAAAGTGTACATTTTGGCATGCAGATGTTCGAGTTACGTACACTTCAAAATTTTCAAAATGGCGTAACATTGCTGCTATTGCAATATTTTGGCAAGCGTATATAACCGTATAACAAGTTGGAGAAAACCGATTAATTGCCCTTAATGCAGTTTCCTCCAAATGTTTTACTGGTAAAGGTTAAAAAAATTTTCATGTTCGAACTTTCAATTTTTGTTTTAGAGATGCAAGTTTAATAAATTAATACAAGCTTAGACCCCGTTTACACGGTACTCACAAATTTGGAACCGGGCTGCAATGCGGCCGTGCAAACACACAAGAACCACAGAACCGGACAAATTTAAAACCCCCTAACAGGATGAATTCGCGTGTAAACAAGCGAAAAAGGACGAATTTCAGACGGTTCCAAATTTGCCCGGTACCGTGTAAACGGGGTCTTAATAAGCAAATTGTGCAAACTGACTACATTTTGATATGTTATGCCCGAGTTATTTGTGAGGTTCAGATTTGACGTTAACTATTGCTACTGCTATCATGCATTAAGGGCCATTAGCCAATCAGATGTGTTTGATATATCCGATTAACCAATCAGATTCATGTTCACTAAGTCAGTGAGAAGTAGTGGTAGGGGTAGTGGAAGTCAAATCTGAACCTCTCTATAATATTTGGCTGCTTTCATTTCAGTAAATGTTTAATTAACTCATTTGAAATCTACAATACTATCAAGTTTCATATACTTGTATCATAAAACAAAATTCTGTTATCTCTTGACACTTAACAGCCGCATGCACTACCACACAATATTAAAATACAGTAAAATAATTGAATAAGGAGATTATACAATGCTTTTTCGTAAAACTGAATATCAAAATACGTTCTTAAGATGTTCTTGAACAATCACTCAGTATAACTAAAATTATAAAATAACTCTTCAGCAGCAATTTTTAACCCTTCATATATACGAAGGACGTTGAGATTGAAGCATCCTGTCGGTATAATTATATGAAGGGTTTATTGCAGTATATACGCACAAGATACACTTCGTCACGAAAAGTGAAATCCAGTTAATAATATATTCCATGACATGTCAGTGATTCATCATTCCGCTTATCAAAAGTTGCGTACTCAGTATTTAAAATACGCGTAGGAATGTTTTATTATATTTAAAATGTGAGTTGCGCAGCACGATCATTTTGGATATGATAAAACCTGCCTCAGTGATAAAACACGGCCTTCGTGCCTTCAGTTAAGCCTGAGCATTTTGAAATGCTGATTTTTCACGCCCGTTCAAACAGACGAACTTGTTGGTTCAACCTCATGGTACATTGTTGGATAAAACATAATTGTTTTTTTTTTCAACTCAATTTAAACATTATGTCTGGCAATGTTAGTTGATGTTAGATAAAGTTTGACTTCATTATTCAAAATTTTTATCAAACGTCGTCCAACACTACTTTCTGGACCGACAATGTTCAACGATCTTGAAATGGTTTGATTTTTTGAACAAGAAAAACCTAGGAAATCAGTTTTGTATGCAGTGTTTATGACAACATTCAGGCAAAAAAACCATGCAAGTGCTGTCACATGAAGTGATATTTGACTACAAAGGATTAAAAGCATGTTACGCAACGTACACTCGTACAAATAAATGCTGCTGAAAGATGTTGTGTACTCCTTAATTACATATATATTAATCGGTAACTTTATTTATTAATTAACAAATATAAAACATTTTCCGTTTTGATATACAGTTATATCAACACGAGTGGAAATTGGGAAAAGGGGAAATTGTGTGGAAACACGACGCCCGAAGGGCGGAGTGTTTTCACACTATTTAGAGCTTTCACAATTTCCACGAGTGTTGATATAACTACGCATCAATACGGAAAAAAATGTTTTATGTACTATTTAAAAAACGAGCAGGAGTGTTTTATTAGGTTTAAAGCCAAGAGCGCGCAGCGCGAGTGGCTTTAGACCTAATAAAACACGACCTGCGAGTTTTTTAAATGACTTCAAAAACGTTTGCATAAGTCAAATCTTTATATAA